TCGGATCCATTAATGTTATATTTGACGATGGGCTAAATACATATGGAAACTATAAATAGGGTTAGAGTCCCAAATTCATATGCAAATTCTCATTCTTAGTATAATCCCATCAATACAAAAATATAAGAGACAGTATATTGAAGAGGAAGATCCAAAACTCACAATTAAGAATCAAGAAGAAAGATTTGAGCAATTGATTTGAAAAACAAGACAATCAAGATTATGGAGCAAGAAGTCAAAATCAAGATCAAGAATCGAAGAGCCAAAAAAGCCAATAATCAAGATTCAAAATCCGGAATCAAGATTCAATAATAAGAAAATATTCCAAAAAAATTAAAGTATGTTCCGAAATATTAATTTTCTTGATGATTTGGCATGGAGGATCTTGGTAATAAAGTAATTAGGTTTAAAATTCTAAAGTTTAAAGTTTCATAGAATTTCAACACTTACTCCTAATTTACATGACATTATGAAATATAATAGTCGATTCAACTAATTTAACAATTAATCTAAGAATAAATATAGTGCCATCAAAATATACTCTCAAAAAGGAGTAAAGCATTAGTAAGACCGAGGAATGAACCGTGAGTGCATAAATAAATTTTCAGCTGGTTAAATTGGTATTGAAATGTGAACTGATGCTTAATTGGCATACCTTTCAGGTAGAAGTGGTTCAAAACTCTACTACCGTATCACTTTCTCCAAAGCATTAATTAATTAAACATAAAAATAAAAATACGAATCAAATTACATTTGACAGTCCATCTTTTTCAAGGAACCTAGGCAAGGCATATCTGCACAAATTCTTAGGAATCATAATATATGATAGTTAATACCGTATTTATTAGGTTTTTAGTTGTATTGGCTATTTTTTAGACAAAATGATTATTATAAAAGAGTTGTAAGAGTCAATGAGTCTTTTAGGATGTTGTATAGATAAACTATGACTCTTTGGGTTCGAGTATGGAATATGGAGAAAGAGTCGCTGGATTTATGCTAGCGTGCCGCCAAGCTGTTGCTCAAGCATTCAAAGCAGAAATATTGTCGCCTGCCCGTCGCTCACCTGTAACTAGCCTGGAACTTGAGCGACGCTATTATATGTGAAACCCTAGTTAGCGATTTTCAAGAATTTTATCTATTATATACTGCCCAATACCTCATATGATAAATATTTAATGTCCATTACATGGAGGTTGATTATTATAATACATCCTCATAACATCATTCAAAGATCTAAGAACATATCAAAACATTGAGATTAAATCTTTGATTCTTGAGATAAATAAACCACAAGTTAGGAAAAACATCAAATCCAAATAATCCATAACACACACTTCCTAAATATAATCAGGAAGGTATTTTCTCAATAACTTCCAGAGGTTGTTGAAGATTGAGAGATGTACGATTAGAAGTACATGAATAGTACATGAACAAGGTGTTCTTGGTAATACACAACCATCTAAGATAGAAAATTCTAGAAGATCAGTAACAGGTGCAGTGAAACACGTTCCAATGGGTTTTGGAGATTATAGGAATTAAATCAACGAGTCTAGTGAGTTTTCTAAGTTGGATCATACTATAAGTTCTTATTGTCTATAATAGAAGTAACTAATTTGGTCCCGGAGTTTTTAAACTTAAAGGATTTTCTCGGTCGATAAATCTTGTTTTATTTATTTATTATTGTGGCAATTCAACATATGATAAAATTTAATGTATTGACTAAACATTTAGAACAATTTAAAAGTGAATTGTTACTTTTAATTGACGTTATTCATCTCTTCAACCCCCTCTAGGTGATTTTAGGACCGAACTAGTAACTTTCAGTATCAAATTTACATGTTATATTCGAAAAATGTAATTCTAATGGCTTGAAAAGCAAAGTCGAAACAATCATGCTACTTGTACATCTTATTTGACATCATTTTTTACATTGTGCCACGTGTCGGCACATGATTGACAGTTTTAAGAAAAACACAATTTCCCGCCCACACGTTTTGAATTCCTACACAATGTCAACAAAAGTATACACTTAGCATAATTCAAGTCAAAATTCCTGAAAGTTTAAATTCCTCATATTCTTTGCGAATCCAATACTATGAGACAAGGGACCCTAAGAAAAGATATCTTCTTTTTAAGCAAAATAGATCTCTTTTGTCACTTTCAATTTACCCATTTTCTTTAATAGCAAACCTATTTTAATAAAGTATACCACATTATCCTATCCCATCTCGTATATCACTAAAATTCATCAAATCAAGCATATTTCACAACTTATCGAATTCACACTAGATAGAAAAGACCGTGATATAGCAATAATATATAAATAAACACAATAAGATGCTTCAGATAAGTAGAATTTTGTAAATAAAGAAAATTTACCTTTCGTCAAACATAGCAAGAAAAAGAAAAGAAACCAAGTGATGGTCACAGTTCATCCTATCAACTTCAAGCCTCAACGTATCCTTATTGAAAGTTTCATATTAGCCGATTTATTTAGACTTAACATGCGAAGTTACACAATTAAAAGCAATAAATCACTTTTAAATTGTTTGTAGATGGTTAATCAATTATGTCAATTTATTTTAGTTGAATTATCACAATTTGTAATATGAAAGCAATAAAGAATACCAAATTGATCACGGAGAAATCCCAACAAGGTAAAAACTCTTAACACTTTGCTAGTCAGTAATCCACTATAAATCGAAGTAAACTTATAGTACGGTCCAGACTCGTCTACCCTGTTAGAGATGTCAAGATGGGTGGGCCGCCCTGGCCGGCCCGGAGGCGAACCGGCCCGCGATTTAGCCCATGAACCGTGTGGGCCGAATCACGGGTAGGGATGTCCATGGGTCGGTTCGGTTCGGTTCTGAAGATACCCGAACCGACCCAAAACTTTCGGGTATTTAATAAATGGACCCGTCGGGTCCAAATATAATTATGGAACCGTTCGGGTTCGGTTCCGTTCGGTTCGGTTCGGGTCGGTTCGGTTCCGTTCGGTTCCGTACTAT